GTCTGCTTCGAAAAGGGGAAGAAAGGGGATTTCCAGGTATGTTTGGCTTTATAAATTGTATGCATTGGGAATAAAAGAACTGTCCCACAGCGTGACATGGCACACACACGAGAAGAAGCCATAAACCTACGCTCATATTGGAGGCAGTTGCATCTAAAGATCTGTGGATCTGGCATGCTTTCTTTGGTATGGCTGGTTCACACAATAACTTGAATGTTCTCGATCATTCTCCAGTATTCAAGAGCATGATCAATGGTACAATGCCTTCGGTTAATTACGTGGTGAATGGGCACCGGCATACAATAAGATATTACCTATATGATGGTATATATCCTAAGTGTGCAACTTTGATACAGATCATCCCACACCCAACAACTGTCAAAAAAAAATTATTTGCTAACAAACAAGAAGCAGTTAGGAAGGATGTAGAACGAATGTTCGACATGTTGCAGATGAAGTAGGCTGTAATATTTCAACCGGTATTTTATTAGAATACAAAATATCTAAATAGGATAATGAGAACGTGCATCATATTACACAATATGATCATTGAAGACGAGGGCGAACATATTTTGCAATGAACACCTCCGACGGATGGCCCAATCTCCCTTTCATATTACATTCGAAACTCATCAATGTTGGCGGCACATATAACCGTTTGAGTGAATGATAAAAGAGCTGTTGAAGCAAATGGTATAGTTGTTGTGCAAAGAGGCAAAACAAATATTGATGCCAAGTGATAAGACGTACATGAGTAGTGGAGCACATAAAATATTATAAACAATGGATAGAACATATCCATACAGTTCTCTATCTGTAGACAAGAGCATAGATAGGAGCAAGTGAGGGCCACAAAATTCATTATCCATCTTCTGTGCATACTATCCCCTTCTCTCTACTCTTTAGACATCTTATCTACTTGGAACTGCACACCAGATGCTCTAATATAAAAACCAACGAAACCGCCACACGTTTTGGAATCGATGTTTTATTTATTTATTTATTTTATTTTTTTGTGTGTACTGGCAGTGGACCATATTACTGTTTTCTTGCGGTGCCTTTTTATGATATTATTTTATAAGGATTATATATAATTATAATATCTGTATACAAATATTACCATTTATATGTAATATCTGTATTGCATATAAATGGTGCTAATGACCCATATTTACCATTCGATGGAGTCAAAGTCTCATAATTTTTAAAAAATAAAGACATAAAAAAACACTGTTTACACTTACAGAGGTACCATATTTAGGCACATAAGTACCTTTTTTTGTAGATACCATTTTTTGTGCTGCACAAAAAAGTGGTACCTGATGCACAAAAAGTAGTACCTATGTGCAAAAAAAGTGATACTTATGTGAATAAAGTGGTACCTCTATATCAAAAACAAAAATTGGCACTTGATGCACAAAAAAGGGTACATGCGTGCATAAAAAGTGGTACCTATGTGCTCAGTGACAAACCCTGAAATTTATTTGAGGGGGGCATTGATGAAGAATAAAAAAAATTGAAGATAATTTTTTAAAAATAAAATAATAAATATAAGAATTTAATTTTTTGTGGCTTGTCTGACTCATATTCTTAATTCTTTTAATCGTGTTCGTGCTTTCTAGATTACCATGGATGTGTGAAGGGAAGAAATAAGAAAACCGATTTACTTTATTTTCTTTTGAATCTAAAACGCAATAATATAATAGTGAGTATTTTAAAAAATTGAGTGGGAATATCAAAGTGCGTGAGAGAGAACCGTGAATGTGGCGGGCAGTAAAGAGTGAAAAAGAGATAATTATTTTTTTGGATCTAAAAAATCAGTGGGGGCAAGAATGCGAAGTGTGGTATTTTTATCAATTAAGAGGGGACATTTTCAAATTTTTACAAAAAGTATAGGTAATAATGCAAATAGGAAAAAATCCAGTGGGGCGCCCTACCGGTCCTTAACCAGGTCCGTGCCTGGATGTGCCTAAAAATGGTACCTTAGTGAGAGTAAACAATATTTTTTCATATTCACATCAGCATTTTTGTCAACTTCATTTTTTCAAAACTACTAGACTTTGACTCTATCAAATGGTAAATATAAGTCATTAGCACCATTTATATGTAATAATTCCTATATAATAGTACCTTTAAATTTATAAAGAAGAAAAGTAATAGACAAACATTACTATGACTAAATTAATTAGACCAAACATGTTTAGTGGACCTTACTATTTTGGGCATTCTAATGAAGATTTGCTAGAATGTTTGTTGGAGGAAACTTGTGTACACAATTAATATATCCTTCCTTTCCAAGTAAATAATATGAGAAGTTCCGTTTTATTTTGGGCATGAAGCAAACTTTGAGCTCAAGTATTGTAGTTATTGCCGTCACACACTTGTAATTGAAGGCATTATAAAGTATATTAAACTATCTTTTAGATTTGCTATTACTTTATAAAGATTTTATCTATTTTACATAGGGCTGTGAGAGCTGGAGCCAAAAAGTGTAACTCATTACTTTACACCTATGAAGCATGGACACATGTGATAGGGGTGACGTATTAGTGTTAGACACGTGTCTGACACGGACACGCGTGTCCCAGCCTCGGACACGTGTCTGACACCATTCTACCAGTGTCTTATTTTTTTATTCATTTTTTTTAAGTTGGACACGCCATAAGACATGCCGGAGGACACCATAGTTTAGATTCTTGTTTGAAAGAAAAAGAGGATGAAGAGATACGTATTTTTTTTTTTTGTGGACCGATCGAAGACTGTTAACCAAAAACAACTCTAAATAAAAAAAATTGAGGGGATGAGAGAGAAACTGGAAGAAAGAGGGGAAATCAACAAATAGATGATGAAGAACCTGATGATCATGCTCTAGTTAGTGTGAATCAATCGAAGGCAGAATGAAAGAAGAAATCTCTTTTAATTGTTTGAGTGAAAATTTGTTGCATATTCTTTAAAAATAAAGCAATAGGCGGAAGAGAGGAAGATAGAAAGTTAAAAGACGGCAGAAATGGTGTCTGGCTAAAAGAGAGAGAATATGGTCAGTCAAACGTGAGAAGACAATCTTATCTCCTGTTTGGTTACAAAGTTAAAACTATTCTAGTAGTGATACAAATTTTAGTATTGAATATAAAGATATACTACATATTTATTATTTGAATTTTAATAGAATTTGGATTGGACTTAATTTAAATGGATCATGTCTATTAATGTAAATTAAAAATTTAGAGAAATTAAAATTTTATATATAATAAAAATATATATTATTATTTTATTATCGTATCCTTGCCGTGTCCATGTCCTATTTTTTTTGAAAATTTGTCGTATCGTCGTATCCGTATCGTATGGTACCCGTGTCTCATGTTAGTGTCCGTGCTTCATAGCTTTACACCATATGACATGTCACATATTCGATAAAAACCAAATCTTTCCAAGTAATAAGTGGAAATAAGATAACATCATATGAGTATTATTATTATTATTATTTTTCCAGGGCAAGGAAGTTAAGGGTTAGTGTTTAGTTATAGGGAATAATGGGAGGAGGAGGATGGTGCAAAGCTCGAACACAGGCTCCCATACACAAAGAGCAACCCAACCATTAGGTAATCATTTGTTTTTTTGTGCTTAGCCACTTGTTGAGTTGTAAAAATAAAACTTCAGTGGAGTGCATTTGAAAAAAATGATATAATTCACACAATATGTGTTGAAATTTTTTGTAGACAAAACTTGCCTACTCACCGATGAGTAGGTCATCTCTACTAACTGCTAATGTGGTCAAATTACAAATGCTCACATAGTCTGCAATTACAAAATCACGAAAATGATAAATTAAGAAATTAGTATGACCGAATTTATTCCAAAAACAAAAATATTGTCTTTATTTATCAATTTCCTGATTTTATAATTATATATTATTTATACATTTATAATTGGACCACATCAGAAAGTAGACCCAATAAAAAAACAAATCTTCTCTATTTTTTATTTGACATACATATAATATTATCTCACTATGTATCTCCAATGGATTGAATGAAATCTCATCAAATTTTAAAATGGACCCTCAATCTTCATTAATTGATAGACTGGTAGGCTTACAAGAATTTTATTAAAAACCAAGTTAAACCATAGCAATAGAAAATCTGGACCAACAATTAATGGAATTTGTCAACTGTAGATCCTGAGAAAATTCAATTTTCATACTACCAAGAGGTCTATTTGCAAGCATAACAACACATATATTTTGTAAAATATAACACTAATGCTTTTTTTTTTTTTTGACAAGAAGGAAGGAAGAGTGGTGGAGGGAAGATAGGAAAGAGTGAAATAATTTTTTTTCAATTGGTAGAGAAGAGGCGGGGGAGGAAGAGAATGGATGAGTCATCTTTCATCCTTCATAAAATTTTATCCCAAAAGAAAAAGGCAGGAAGGAAAAGAAGCAATACTATTATATAAATTTTAAATTACAATACTATCCTTTATAATTATTAGATAAATTCACTATTAATAATCATTCTCCCACAATCTCTCCTAACAAACAATGTAAGATGTTGCCTCCTTTCCTCCTCTTCCATTCAAGCAAACAAAAAGAATAAATGCCTTCTTCGCTTCCTTCTATTCAATTTTATCCCTTAGGAGCATAAAAGATTCATTACCATCCATGCAGACAGAACTATCATTGGACATTGTATTGGCTTTTTTGCCTTTTCTTTTATTTAAAAATGGTGAGATTGTTTATTTGCCTAACATTTCTCTTAGAGGAAATAGGTATATTGTAGCATTCCAACATCTACCAGCTGATACATTACTACCTTATGCAGGATGCTGGGAGGGGGGAAATATTTTGCATAAAATTAGTTCTCTAGTCCGTTCAATATTTTACCATTGAACCAAGCAATGTCCCAAACATTAGGGAAAAAAGATCACATAAATTTGTTATATTCGAAAATTCGTGTCCGTACTAAATTTGCGACTTCAAAAATACAAGCATCTGAGTGTTCAAGTAATGAAAAAAATTTCTTTCATTGAATCATAAATAAAAACTGACAACATAGTTTCCACAATTACAACCGTCGCAAGGCCAAATTGTAACAAAAAGAAAGCAATAGTCTACTGTCAAAGCATTAGCAATCACATTGTCATTTGATGCTCCTAACCCTAACCCTAACCCTAACCATACAAGTTCTTTTGAATTCGCCGATAAGAGAGTCGTCTGCTTCCCCACACCAACACAGATCAAGAAAATTATCCTGCAACGCAGAGTTTCTTCCCCTCCATTGTTGGGCCGTAATTTGAGCTGCTATTTGTTGAAAATCTTGTTGATGCTTTAATTTTCTGCAAAAAAGCGAACACAAGTTTTCAATCAGTATGACAAATATGTGCACATAACAAGGGGCACGGAAAAGTTAAAAATATAATGAAACAAAGGATCAAACTTGTTAAACAGAGCTCTTTGAAAAAGAACTGTCGGAAGCTAAAATTTAATAACAGGGTAAATCAAAATGTAGACGGATATAATTTCATGAAATATTCCATAAAACTATAAATTCGAGATGCTTAGATAAAGTCAGGAGACATGCCCCTACAGCATTTTACTGATATTTGATTAAATTTTCAAATATAGCCTACAAAAGAGGGGGTTTTAATGAGAACTCAAAACAAATGGACAGATCGTGTTCAGAACGATAACATTTCTTCAATGTCTTAGTACATGTTCATTGTTTAATTAGCTTAAAGATGCCGTTGTTAGTACTACAATTCTGTGCAGACTTCAGACAACCACATCCAAGATAAACACGAAAACAAACATTATAAGTTCATTTGAAGTGAAGTATCCAACATATTTGACATTCGTCAAACAAAATAGATCCAATTTCCCACACCATTGTTTAATAGAAGCATCTATTTCACCAGAGAAGGTCATACCTTGTCCCTGAATGATTTTATGACAGCAGCCAACAACTCGTCCCCTGCCAACTGTCTGATTCGCCGTACCAATTCATGCCGTGAGATCTTCTTTTCCTGAAGAAGAGAATTGAAATAACGAAATTAGAAAAAAGAAAAATTAAAAAATACCTAATGCTTCATTTGGTTGCCGGGAAGCTAGACATGATTCCAAAGGAAGTATTTATGGAGAAAATAGTTAGTATAGGGGGATCGAATTTTCCTGCAGCACCAAATACATGGAAAAAACGGAGGAAGACAATTTTTATTTTCCTTTTCCTTTCTATTCCCAACAACCAAACAAATCCATATACATATTCTAGAATCATACCACAAATGTGAGTCATAGATACTTACTCGATGATAACTGTGATACTTGGAGATCAAACCGATGGTATGAGGAGGTAAGAACTTCGAAAGCACAGATATTAGAGCAGAAAATGGCATCCAAGGTGAATTTGGTCTCGTAGACGGATTCTGAATCGTTTGCAACCCTAAAAAAATAATAAAAAAAGAATGTTACACCCTGAACAATTCTGAAATTATAGAAAAATATTAAAAACAAATTAACTCAGAAAAGTATGTCCAATTCCTTACCATTTAAGCTAGAAGGAGCTTCGAGACTTATGACATATTCCGGCAAAATATGACTATTCATGTGAGTACTCCACACAATGTACTTTGTAGGAGCTGAAAGATTGTCAACACCAGAATCAAACTCTTCAGAACTCGGATGACACTGTTCGGACCCCGGATGGACAAGCTCCGACTTCCCCAAGATTACGCGACAAAGCAGTACATGCCTCACACCATCCTCATCAACAATGGAAGATTTCACACTGTAAAACAAGTACATTAACAAAAATTACTCAAAATTAGAAAAGAAAAAAAAAAAAACGATCTAGTCTTTAAGAAATTACACACTAAAAAACAATACCCACAGACATTAATTAAATCACTATCAATTAAATGATAATGCAAAATAATTTAAGAAAAATGTTTGAAATACTTGCTAACCTTTCGAGAGGCGAATTCTCGGGATGGAGATAGATGCCACAGCCATACAATCCATTGCTCTCAGGTTTCCCACAATGACCAAAACCATGAGAAATTATCTTTGTAATCTCATCCTTGGAAGCACCATACCAAGCAAACTTCACATTGGCATTGCCACCACACTTGTTCTCCATAGCTTGCTTGAAAATTTGGAACGAACGGAACCGGGCTTTTCCGGTGAAGCCAGAACGAGCATTTTTGTGCATTGCTACCACTCTGCTCCGAGCTCCAATAGAACCCAAACCCGAAAAAAATCTCCTCCGGATAATTTCAAAACCCCGGTCCCCTTCATCTACTCTGATCAACCCATCAATATTTAATTGAGATTGCACACCGTGTGGCCCCGAAATCCCACTTTCACAATCAGAAATTAATGGGTTTTCTTCATCATAAACAGTCCCGGAGCCCGACGAACCCGAATGATTGTTCGGATCATCTAAAGAATGCGTGCTTGTGCTAAATGGGCTAAACCCAGTTACATACTCGTTATTGCTTCCAATTGGAATTGAAAGTGACCGACTTTGTTCTCTCATGTTTTCCATAACAGAATTCCCAACACAACCAAAAAATTTGAAACAAAAGCTGGAGTCAATGAAACTAACCCAAATCCTAATTTAAATTAAACAAGCTTAAACACTTAAATCAATAAATAGCCAAAACCTATAGAGATACCAAAAAAAAGGGGTATGAACAGAAATTTTTTGAATCTACAAGGAGGATAGAAATCGAGATCTACCCAGAAAAATTGAAGGATATAGTTGAAGAACAAACCAATATAAATAAAATAAAATAAATTCTCACCAGAGAAGGAAGTAAAAGCAAAATTGAAAAAGTGAGTCAGAAAGATGAAGTTTTGCAAAAATCAGATCTCAAGATATGCAAGGAAATTAGAGAGAGATTTTGGAGGTTGACAAAGTTTGGAGAGAGAGGCTAATGCTATATATATATATATACGCGTGGAGGGTATTGATTAAGGAAAGGAAGGAGTTACTTGGAGAGGAGGGAGAGTAATATAAAAACCAACGGAACCGCCTCACGTTTTGGAATCGGTGCCTTGTTTTTTGCGTGTACTGGCGGTGGACCATATTGCTGTTTTCGTGCGCCGCCTTTTTATGATATTTATAAATATCCGTATAATAGGATGGGCTTGGGAGGTTTGGAAGCCCGTGTTTTTAACAATGTGGAATTACAACCCAGCCCTTCCCTCTATCTTGAAGGATAAGGAAGACTTTGTTGGAACGGTTCATTCAAATCCCAACATGCAACCTGTCATGTCATATGTCATGCCACGTGTTCTTCATCCATCCATGAAGACTCTAGATTTTCTGAAATGGAGAATTGGACCATAACATTCAACATGTCATGAGATATGCCACATGATCTCTCTCCATTCATGAATGCTCTAGAGTTTCTGAAAAGGAATTTTGGACCATTAACCCATAAATAAATGATGTTTATTTTTAGTTTATTATTATTATTTTTAATTTCCCTGCCACAGATGTTAATTTTTTTAGTGTAGGTGATATTTGTAGAGATTTTCGCCTCATTTTCTTTTCCTAGCTGCAATTATTGGTGGGGTTTGAAGTTTTTTAAAAGCCAAATGCCATACTTTGATAATATTAATTCAGATCAGAATTATGAGAGTTTTGCTTTTTATCATCCGATTTGAAATGATTTTACAAAATGTCTAATTGTGTTTATGAGGTAAGGAGGTCGGCCGTACAAACTTGAGTGAATTTCTTGTTTTAATATAAAAGGTTATAAGAGTCACTATTTTTTCATTAACTTTTTTGTTTTGTTTTTAAATTTATTGTTTCAATCTAATTTCATTGTAGTATGTCACAAAAGAAGCAAGCCGGGTGGAACAAATTTATAAATATTTTATCAATAATGTGTCGGAAAAAAAGTGCGTACGTCTATGCGTCGAACCAAACTTTTAATGTTAAATTTGCATTACTATCATGTTATTTGAGTGTTATTGTTTAATAATATCTCAAAATAAATGTTATGTTATTGTGTAAAAATAAATTATCTCCGTTTCAAAACAATTGTCTTTATATTTCTTAGTCTCCAAGTCAAAAACTGATTAATGATGTCTCTCCAATATATTTCTTGGTTCCCAAGCCAAAAACTAATTACTCATGATGTCGATTTATCTTGACAAAATATGAAAATAGTCATAGTACACATGAAGAAAATTAATTTATATTCAGTTAATATATAAAGAAATGACATCTTCACTCTATTTCCGCTATACTTTTTTTCACATAAATTAAATTAAGAACAATAATAATATTTTACATTAAGTAGAGTAAATTTATAAAATGATTTAAAAAAAACACTCTTAAACCTAAATTATTTATACACATAACACCACGTTGTACATTGTGTGTGTATATATATTATCTTATATGCATAATTAGTTGCTTTATTTGATATGCAATTTTTTTTCAGTTACAACCCGACTAATTTACATTAATTTTGTTTAAACCTATTATACCGCAATGGAGTAGCTCAGAACTATGCTCATGCGGATTAAGGATTATATAATATATTTGTATAATGGGGTGGTGGGCTTGGGCGGTTGGAAGCCCTTTTGCGGTGTTTCGAACAAGGTGAAATTCCAATTTAGCCCTTACCTTTATCTTGAAGGATAAGGAAGACTTCGTCGGAACGGTTAGTTCAAATCCCAACATGCACCACATGTCATGCCATATGTCATGCCACGTGTTCTCTCTCTATCCATCCATGAAGAGACCTGATTTTCTGAGAAGGAGATTTGGACCATAACATTCAACATGTCATGAGATATGTCATATGCCATACGATCTCTCCCCATCCATCTAGAGTTTCTGTCAAGGAAATTTGGAGAATTAACCCATAAATAATTCCGAAAAAAAAAATAATCTGTAAATTTACGAATCGAATCCGATTCGATTTTATTCATCTACACTCACGATTGGTGACGGATTGAAAAAAAATAAATTTTTAACTCACGCATTGGGCTGTCAAAATCCGATTCGATTCGATTCAATTAGGGAGTCCAATTCGATTTGATCTGCTATATATATTATTTGAATATATATATATATATATATTCAAATAATATATTAGTTAAATTAATTAATTAATGAAATCTAAGAATATATTTTTTAAATTTGCATCACTCTCAAAGTGATTTATAAGTGATTTTCACAAAATAAGCAAGCCGGTGGGACAGAATGGTGATATTACTGATTTAATTTCGAAAACTCAAATTTATAAATATTTTTATCAATAACTTGTCTAGAAAAAAAAAAAAAAACGTGAGTTGATGTGTATGCGAACAAAACTTTACATGTTAAATTTGCATCACTGTCACAGTGATTTGAGCGTTATTGTGTAAAAATATAATATATTTGTTGGTTCACATGCCAAAAACTGATAACTCATGAACCGAAACGTGGCCTGGAGATGGAGACGCTGCAGTTTGGATGTATGCATGGTAGAGTTTGAATGTCATTCAGTTTTGATAAGATCGAGCTATGATCTTAACCTTTGTGGTGTGCTGATGTGGCCTTGTTGTAAGTTGAATCAAGTGTTTGTGCACTCAGAGTCAACTTATTATTCTTGCAAGTGTTCTTACCACTCCACGCCCATGATTGATTGTGAGATTTTTCAGCATGGGATAAAGTAGTCTGAATATCAGAAAAATACTTTCTTTAAATTAAACCTTGTTTTTCCCCTTGTTATCTCCACACTAACTTTTAGCAAGCATAGCTGTATTAAAACACTCCAAATCCTCAACTTAATCTTTTTTGGCCTCCTCTAATTTGTCACAACCAATCTAACCAGTCTTATTAGAATCCTCTATAAGCAAGCAACTAGTATAATTTTTTTCATTCAATATATGATTTGTACCTTATCAAGGGAATCTATAATTCATAGGGACAAAGGTAAGTTTGCCAATTAGTCTCAAATGAGAGAGAACAATGTGAGAAAATTTCAACATTCTATAAAGCTAACATTAATTCTGCTAGGGAAATTAAAATAGCTCCAAATAATTTTTGCTTCGTTGTTGAAAATTAAATTCCTTTTTCATCATATTCGGTGCACCATTATTATCACATCATCAATTACACGCATATTGAAGAAAACAACAACACAATATTTTACATACAACTCTAGAATTGAGAGGAATTTCACTATTATATATCATAAAATAGATGTACAATTATAAATGTCAAAACCTCACTAATTCACTCACTCATCACCTTTTTGGGCCATATGTCTAAAGTTTTAGTTTAATTTCCTATTTTAAATACGCCAATTCGGGGGTGCTACACACCAAATAAATGATATGGTATATATTTGAAAAATTTATTCTTTATTCCTAAACTGTAAATTTTAGTAATAGTAAATATTATACATTTTTTTTTTCAACGGCAAGACAGTTAATGGTTAATTGAAATAAATATTAGTTTTTGAAACATTTTCGTTGCCTTGTGACATGAGTTCGAGACAGCCAATTACAACTTACGTTCTCTGCCGAAAGTCCCAGTGCAGGCAGGCCAATTCTCTGTTATACCCCCACCACCATGCTTGTACACGTAGTACTTATAAAATTCCTTAATTTGATATATATATTTGGAAATTTCAAGCAAATATATTAATATAGGAAATGTACAAGGAGGATGCTAGCCAAACAGACCCAAGGACATACAACAGGAAAAGATCCATAAAAACTTAAAGCATCCCAAGGCCAACAAGCCCAAGACATTTGCATCATTTTCCTGTTGTAAGGAACGACAAATTTTAGTAACTCAACTCAAACACCACCACAAAGGCCTCTCCCTTGATTATGACTACTATGACTGAAAAAATATTACAAATATTATCCATTCCTGCTTGAAATTATAATCCCCTCTATACAACTTTACACGGATCATTTCACAAAGGAGCATATATCATATATACATCATCAAATACACCCAACCCTTGCTCCTCAAACAACATAGGAGGAAAACACTCGACAAAAATTACAAGAAAAAAAAAATAAAAAAAACGTAAAAGTAAAAAGAGCCGCCTTTACAATGTGATTGGGTGCTATTTGAGACTCGAGAGCCAATGTGACTTGAGATTTATCATTTATCACAACCAAGCTCCCCATCCAGGAAACATATGACACAAACGATCGGAATCAATAGCATCTTGTATAAGTTGTTGAACCTACAATGGTAAAAATCAAATTAATCTCGGCACATAAAGGAATCAAAAAAAAAAAAAAAAAAAAATTGAAACCTTGCTCTTTTAAGTGTTAAGCATATCCAATCTCAAAACCAAATAAACTTCAAAAGATCACTATCTGCCTTCCACATAAAATAGCTCACAAGTTAGCCAGGAATCCACAAAATGGAAATAGTTTTCTGAAGTCCGGTTTGGCTTACTAAAGCAAATGCATCAGAGTAAAGTGTTGGAGATTAGAATCAGACAATCAATTAAAGGAAACTAGCTGATATCATTCTTGTGTAAATGACATCACTGGAAAACATTAAATTATAAAACATATATTTAAAAAACCACCAAAACTTCATGCCATGGAGCCATCTCCATCAGGTTTAAGACATGTGTCAAGATTTTACTGTTATTAAAAGAGGTGGTTGCTATTTCAAAGAGTCATCATTAGGTTCACTACCAGTTTATTATTAATACCATTATTTTAAATTTTCAGGAACTTAGAATCAGCCATTTACTCATTAGATGTGACCATTTGCATGGCGATATTGTTACGGATAAAAGACCACTCAATTGTTTTCTTGCTCCAACAGACTCCCTCCCTCCCTCCCTCTCTTGGCAAGAACTCACGCATCCATTTGTCCTTAGGGGACTTGAACCCTCACCTTCCACTTCGGGAGGTAGAGGAAATACTACTGGGCTACAGCCCTTGGTAGAGCTTTATTTCAAGTTCATAAAATAAAGAAACAGAAGTAGCATAACAATATCCTTTATTTTCTCCCCCTTTTTAGAACCCAGTAATATGCTGTCAGATGGACTTACGAACTTGTAATCAAATGATGATATTTGTTCTACGATATTACTTTATATAGCAATCTACTGGAAATGAGGATGATCACACTAAATTTCCAAACTTATCAACCGAAAGGAGGTAGGAGGCAAGAGTGGTAAAAATTTGGAATCAGGTCAATGCATGTGGTATTGACCTAGAAAATTACCTGCCCATGTACACTTCTCATTTCACCATCTTCATATCCATCTAGCTTTTGTTTGACACGCATCAGTGCACGTGTAGCATCCTGGTTTCCTTCATACTCGTCTTCTGAGTCTTCCAAGCTTGTATCCAAATCATCATCTGTTTCCTGTCAAGTTAAAAACAATCTAAGTGAGCAATATATGCATATTGTAAGCAAATGTTCGACATATATCATACATTTGTCTCAAGAGACTTGGTATCCATAGAATAGATATATGAGTCAGTAACTCGAGAAGGGAAGAATTTGAAAATGGATGTAAAATATCAGGTACTTGCCTTCCTGCATCAGAAATATTTAACAATTTCATATGGTAATATAAAAAAAAGAAGAAGATAAATTTTGACTAGTGACTTCTACCTGCTGAACTTTGTTTAATGCCCGTTAATTTAAAACACTCGTATCAAATTATGGTATTACCTCAATGGATTATGTGACTGATTAGGGCTGTTGTCTCACCTTTGAAGGCTAAGTTACAATATGATAGGTTTTCATAATAGTTGTTGCATGCAATCCAATTTGCTAGAACATTTACCAATCCACCAAAAAAATTAAAAAAATAAATCAAAGACAAATTATGATGACATGAAAAATATTCTGTCAGCAATTTCCTGGTTTCCCAAGGTAATATTTCTGACAGTTCAGTTTCTTACCATCAGTGGATTAGTCTTCTCTTTAAAGTTTCCCAACCACTTGTTCACTTTGCCATATTATGAAGTTATATCTTTCATTTTAAATCATGAATTTTGTTAGAATGTTTATATATATATATATATATTTATGTTGGGTCATTATGTAATTACATATAGTTGGTAGGGCCCTTATGTTATTAGCTTAGTCTTGTATCTTTATATAAGCCTATGTAGGCTTTGGGTTTGATATATGAAATATACAAAATCTCTGTAGCCTCCATGATCTCTCTCTCTCTCTATCTCTATCTCATGAGTTTGAACATGGTATCAGAGCTATACGAATTCATGGGTGTGGGAAACTGCAAGTGTGTTGTTCTTGTATAAGATTAGAATCGCGATCGGAATCGCGATTGTGGTGTTGGTGTCTCTGCCAAAAGTTTGGTCACCGGCAGGATTAAGGATCCTCGTTCGTTGTTGTCGTCGGATTTGAAGCCTCATTCGTCGTCGTCGGATCTGAAGCCCGTTTGGCGGCTCGTGTTGCTGCCGCTTTGATTGTTAGAGAGCTCGCCGGCATCTACTGTCGTTATTGGCAGAGGTGAGGTTCGTCGATTCATGTTTTCTTTTGGCTGGAAGTTGCAGAGGTTCTGATTCGGTGTGGTGTCGTTGCTTATTGATTCGGCCGCTGCTTATGATTGGATTGCCGTCGCCATCACCTCTGCTGCGTGCTTGTCGGCGTCTGTGAGGTTGTGAAGAAGAACAATTGTGTTTGGCTACATGGTTATGCTATTCTAACCCTAGTTTACTAAAAATGGGATAGCAGAGATCTGATTTTGATCCAGCCGGCTGACCAGAGCCAACCTGTTTGCCTAGATCCGACCCGTTTGCCTAGATTTGGCCAGAATACAGATTTTGCATTTTTTTCTTAGGTTCGATTTTTTTTTTTTTGTTCTCTTCTCCATGGTTGCCAGTTCAGACCTGTTATCTTCTGCTTCCTTCAATCCTCCCATGACTTCGGTCAAGCTCAATGGCAAGAACTATGTTTTATGGCCAAGTTAGTAGCAATTTTTCTCAAAGCCAAAGGCTTTGGCTCTCATTTGGTTAAGGATAAACTTAAAGACAGTGATGCAGATTTCAGGTCATAGGAACAAAGGGATGCTCAGATCATTTCTTTAATACTGAATTGTATTGAACCCCATATCAGCTCCAACTTGTTGTATTTGGACACTGCCAAGGAGATATGGAACCGACTCCAATAACTATATTTAGGTACCGGTAACATCATCAGAATTTATGAGGTGCGCAGAAAATTCTTTGACCTCCAGCAAGGTACACACAGTCTAAAAGAATACTTCTCACGGTCAATGGGAATTTGTGAAGAAATGAACTTGTATCAGCCCATCACCTCTGATGTGAAGAGTATGCAACAACAACGTGAGGATTTTAATGCTGTTCGGTTTCTCACAAGGTTGTCACCAAAATATGAATCTATTCGAGCACAGATTTTGGGTAGCCCTGCACTTCCTTCTCTTTCTGATATGTTTTCCAGACTCCAGCGTGCTACTCTATCTAGCGGCGCTTCAAGTGGTGTCACTGCTCCTCCTAGCAGTGAACGTTCTGCCTTAGTTGTGAACCAGGGTGGTTATCATTCTTCTCGTGGCGGTGGCGGTCGTTTTACCCATGGTCGTGGTTGTGGCAGAGGCACAGACTCGGAAATCTGCACTCACTGCGGTCTTACTAATCACACTTTCAATTACTGTTGGGATCTTCATGGGAAGCCGCCACCTTCTTCCTATGCACATCAAGTGACCTCTAATGAAGAGGATTCTTTTTTCTCTGCCACACCAACTGCTCCACAAGTGGCTGTTGAGCCTACTACGGTAACAATTTCCCGCAATGAGTATGCTCAGTTTGTCTCAACAACAGCCTTCCACCTCATCTTCCATGGTTTCCTTTGCCCGATCAGGTAGTACACCTGCATGTCTCTTGTCCTCTCGTCAGAGTCCCTGGATTCTTGACTCTGGCGCATCCGATCATATGACTGGTAGTTCTTATCTCTTATCTGATTTTTAGTTTGTTCCTTCCTCTCAAAGTGTTACTCTTGCTAATGGCTTATCAACTAAAGTTTTGGATATGGGAACCACTCATCTCACCCCTTCTATGTCCCTCTCTTCTATATTATATGTTCCTCAATTCCCTTTAATTTGATGTCCATTAGCAAAATTACTAAATCTCTTAACTGCTCCGTTACATTTTATCCCTCCTGTTGTATTTTTTAGGATCTCAAGACGAACAAGAAGATTGGTACGGGACATGAAGTAGGTGGCTTGTATTACTTTGATATTGCACCATCTCCCACGGCTCTTCAATCATCTTTGTCTCCTTTCCAATGGCACTATCGTCTTGGCCACCCATCATTATCAGTTTTGTAGCGTCAAGTCCCCAGTCTTGGTCGTGTTGAGTCCATGCCTTATGAAGCATCTCAACTTAGTAAGCATTGTCGTGTATCTTTCAAACCGAGAGATACTAATCGTGTTGCTAGTCCTTTTCAGTTAATTCATTTAGATGTATGGGGCGCAATAAAACATATTTCTATTAATGGATTTCATTATTTTGTGACTTTTGTGGATGATCATTCTCATATAACTTGGTTGTTTCTAATGAAAAATCGTTTAGAGTTATTCTTTATTTTTCAAATATTTCGTAAAGAAATAAAAACTCAATTTGGATGTTCCGTTAAAGTTTTACGTTCTGACAATGCCAAATAAATAAAAACTCAATTTGGATGTTCCATTAATATTTCTCGAACCCTTTTGAGACTTATTTTCATGCTAAAGGCATCATTTATCAATCATCTTGTACTTATACTCCTCAACAAAACGGAGTAGCTGAACGTAAAAATCGTCATCTCTTGGAAGTATGTCGTGCCCTTTTATTCCATATGCATATTCCCAAACGTTTTTGGAGTGATGTTGTTCTTACAGCCTGTCATCTTATTAATCGGATGCCCTCGTCGGTGTTACAAGGGAAATCTCCTCATTCTATTCTCTTTCCCAACTCCATATCGTTTAATCTTACTCCTCAGGTCTTTGTATGTGTGTGTTATGTCCATAACCTTGGGCCCAGTCTTAACAAACTCGACCCTCGTGCCATTAAGTGTGTTTTTCTTAGGTATTCTCGCACTTAGAAGGGTTATCGTTGCTACAATCCTCATTTTCAACACTATTTCATTAGTGCTGATGTCTCCTTTTCTGAGTCTCTCCCATATTTTTATGATTCTACTACCCCTCTCGATATTACTCCTGAGCCACCTATGCCAACTGTTCCCTCTCTATTTCCTGCTCCCGCACCTCTTCGCTCCGTTGTCCCCTTGCAGGTTTATACTCGACGACCTCGACCGCCTACTTTGCTCCTTTCATCTCCTTCAGAGTCTTCGGATCCGACGCCATCTACTATGCCTAATGATTTGCCTATTGCTCTATGTAAGGGTATTCGGTCATGTGTTATTGCACATCCCATTTCTAACTTTGTCTCCTACCATAATGTTTCATCCTCTTTATTTTGTTTTTTTATCCAAAATGTCTGTTACTTTTGTTCCCAAGACTCTGAAGGATGCTCTCTCTAATTTGGATTGGCACAAAACCATGGTAGATGAAATGGATGCCCTTTACCGTAATCGGACTTGGGATCTTCCCTTGCCTCCGGGCTCCAAAACGGTTGGTTGTAAGGGAGTCTACGCTGTTAAATACCTTCACGATGGGTCAATTGAGCCGTTGAAGGCTCCTCTAGTGGCAAAAGGATACACTCAGACTTATGGTGTTGATTATGATGAGACCTTTTCCCCTGTTGCTAAGATTTCTTCTATTCGGGTACTTATTTCCATTGCTGCCAATTGTAACTGGCCGTTGTTTCAATTGGATGTCAAAAATGCCTTCTTGCATGGTGACTTGATTGAAGAAGTTTATATAGAGTGACCACCTGGGTTTGTTGCTTAGGGGGAGTATCGTTACACTGTTTGTCGCCTTAAAAAGGCCCTGTATGGATTGAAATAATCTCCACGGGCTTGGTTTGGAAAATTCTCTGAGGCGGCATTAGAATTTGGCCTTAACAGATGCCAGACCAATCATTTGGTATTTCACCAACGCACTAAAGCTGGCTTCATTTTTCTTGTGGTGTATGTAGATGATATTGTGATAACAGGTGATGATTCTGAAGGCATTACTAAGTTGAAGTTGTTCTTGCAAAATTGATTCCACGCTAAAGACTTGGGTAAACTTAGGTATTTCTTAGGTATTGAAGTTGCTAGATCCAAGAAGGGTATAAGTTTATCACAACGAAAATATGTGTTGGACTTATTAGAAGAAACAGGTATGTTGGGTGGTCGTTCGGTTGATGCTCCTATTGATTCAACTACAAAACTTGTATCTGATGAGGGTGATCTATTTAATGACCTGGGCAGATTTCGTCGCCTTGTTGGGAAAGTTATTTATCTCACTATCACTCGACCTGATATTTCATATGCAGTTAGTGTTGTAAGTCAGTTCACGGGAGCTCCTAGAATGCCACATTGGATTCCTGTTCTTCGAATTATCCGATATCTCAAGCAAGCTCCAGGTTTTGGGTTACTATATAAATCAAATGGTCATCTCAGGGTAGAAGGTTTTACAAATGCTGACTGGGCTGGTTCTCCTTCAGATAGGAGATCTACTATAGGTTACTGCACATTTATAGGAGGAAATCTTGCTACATGGAGAAGTAAAAAGCAAATGGTGGTAGCCCGATCAGTGCTGAAGCTGAGTACAGGGCAATGGCCCATACCACCAGTGAGTTGACATGCATATAACATTTTCTAAAAGAACTTGGGTTAACAGTTGAAGCTCCTACACCATTGTTCCGTGATAATCAAGCAACAGTTCACATTGCATCAAATCTTGTGTTTCATGAGAGGACCAAACATATTGAAGTTGATTGTCATTTCATTCGAGAAAAAATATGAAGTGGGAGCATCTCTACTCCATTCGTGAAGTCTGAAGATCAATTAACTGATATGTTTACTAAAGCATTGGGTCATAACCGGTTAAGGACTATCTTTTCCAAGCTGGGATTATTTGATATATATTGTCCAGCTTGAGGGGGAGTGTTAGAATGTTTATATATATATATATTTATGTTGGGTCATTATGTAATTACATATAGTTTGTAGGGCCCTTATGTTATTAGCTTAGTCTTGTATCTTTATATAAGCCTATGTAGGCTTAGGGTTTGATATATGAAATATACAAAATCTCTGTAGCCTCCATGATCTCTCTCTCTCTCTCTCTCTCTATCTCATGAGTTTGAACAAATTTCAAATGAATATGAAGGCATTTTAAGCGGATTGATCATCAATTGAAAAAAAGAAAAAGAAAAAGGAAGAAAGTGCAGAGTCAAAATTAGCCTGTAATTTCCCTAATAGAGTTTGAGATGTTTTTCATGTCTCAGATTTGAAAAGCATATATACTTCCTATCTGCTATGACCTCTTTGTCCTGAAAAGGCAAATAGCAGGTGCCAAATTTCATATGCATATAAATTGTGATGAGGGTGAGGTTCTGAAAGACCTTTTGACGTTGCAAAGCCTTCAAAGGTGATAGAGCCCACTTATATAAAGGATCATGGATAAAAACCTGCAAAGAATTCACATATGCTGTCAGAAAAAATATATTTCCAATGAATCATACTTTAAGAAGATAAATTTCCTATAAATCATACTTCAACAATGGTTAGCAGTGCTTCTTTATTTGTCCGCATAACAGAGAGAGTTTCCTCACAACATCTTCTGAAAACTCCTTCCACTCCCGTAACACCCATACCGTCTATGATGTCTCTTGTTAGTCGGAATGGAACCTACCAAAGGTCGCTTTAACTATTAGAGGTAAAGTGGTCATACAAAATAATGACGGATACAAAAAAATAAAGTGAAAGTAGAAAAGAAACATTCAAGGATGAAGCAGACAAACACATAAAGTGAGATTAAAAAAGAAGTATTAAAGAATAAAAGAAACATACACGCTCAGGTGTTTTGAGCATCAACCCTTGTTCAAAGGCAACACCGAGATCTATGTGAACAACTTCTGCAGTGGCTTGATCAATTAGGATATTCATGGAATGTCGATCACCAAGTCCAACGATGTAACCAACCTGAACTCAAGTGAAGGCTTCAGTTCTCTGAATCACTTCAACAAATCTCATCTCAACTTTAGTCTATGTTAGGTGATTTGATCACCAAGCATTTATATATATATTTTTTACTTTTAGTGAGAATATTAAATTTAGTATCACATAACAAAAACGAAAAGAGATTCAACACAATCTAAGAAACACAGAACCTTCTATGAAGGTGACGTGTCCGTGTTTTACACTATTTAGATGCCACATGTGTCGGACACTGATACTTCATACATACTCCTGGAAAATGCGTCAATAATTTAGAAGTACATTTCATTATTTAGGACAGTTAATTAAGAGTAACCATGTCCAACAATCTTTGAAACAGTTTGAATACAGCTTACTATGTCCAACAACTTGTTTTTGAAGGAAAATTGACATTATACACAGGCAGAACTATTAAGGGACCAAGGGGTCGTTGCCCCCCCCAAAACCAACCCAAAAAAAATCAAAATCCCTAAAAAATAGGCCTCCTATAAATAGTGAATCACAAAGTAGTAAAACGATTTTATATGCGGCCCCCCAAAACTTATAAAAGCATCATTTTAAGTCTTGTTTTTTGAAAATCTACATTTGAAGGAAATGGACAAAAAAAATTTCAAATATAACTGTTACACCTATTTTGCTTCTTAATAAATGCACTTGATGACTTATGGAATGTTTTTTACTTTATAAAGAATTTTCTTAGAATCACCTTCTGAAAATTCTATTATAAAGAAAAAGAATATGTTTTTATCTATCTATCTATATATATATATTTCTTTTTATTTTTTACTGTTAATTCGGCCCCCAATTTAAAATTTATGGGCCCGCCCCTGATTATGCAGATGGTCATAAGTGCCCTTCCTCTAAACATTCAATAACCTCACCATTGTTCAAGTAGATGAAAGATCAAAATTCCTATCATAAGAACAGAACAATAAACTCACCATTGAACTAGTTGCCACACTTCGTGTGTAAGCGAGTCTCTTTTCAAACCAATCAGCTGGATGTAAAAATCTCTCTAAGAAAAAATAATGCATAACAGGCCTGCAAGATATGTCAATTAAGGAATTCAACAAAATGCGCTTAAATTATTGGTGCCAGGTATTTTTTTACAAAAATAAAAAATATATGTATGTATATAAACCTGAAGTTCTTACAGACTTCTTGAAATGCCTTGCGCTTATTTTGTTCCTACCAAAAAAAAAAAAAAAAAAAATCAGAACCATTTTTTTGTTTGTTTCTGTTTAGGTAATTGATATTTGAATTATTCACCTGCTTTACCCATTTACATTTTGCATTTGCAAGTTTTGATGTTTGAACATAGGTTAGAAATGCTGTAAACTAGAGCAATTATACCCACAAGTTACCACAAGGAATATATATATATATATACTTCAATACCAGAAAACTAATTTGGAACTTCCAAAATTTCTTCTTTATTCTCCTCATATTATTTTTACAAAATACAAGATAATGAAACTGTACCCTATTTCTCACCCAAGGGTGTGACACCCCACTAGTCATAAATAAGAAGAAGAATTGAAACCTATTAAGATTCAAGTTTTAGCGAAAGAAAGGGCAATAAATATATCAGAACAATGCAGATAGGCTATCAGGAAAGCATGCACAAAGCTTCAATCTATCTCATAACAATTCTAGCTTAACAGTAATCTAGTTCAAGCTATTTCTGGACAAGTGTACTTTGTACCTTATCCCCAGTCTAAACATCACCATGACCCACCTTTTAGGTAACTTTGGGTACAATTTTGGTAGAGTTGTTGATTCATCCTCCTCGCGGTCATGTATTAACAAAAGTATGATACTTCACAAAATCAAAGGCTATTCTATAGATTTTTTCAATTCCAACAATCCTTCAAGAATTATCTGGATAATATGGAAAATTTCTCGTACTTTAGGCATTGCAATCCTGAAGGTGACCCTCTACAAGAGGGGAGTGATACATTCTAGTAGGATAATGACACAACACCTCATCAATATAATTAGCTACGTGAACTCTAACATAGGCATTAATCTTTAAGGTTATACTTGACATTGGTTTTACAAGAGTTGTAATGACATTAATTTAGAATTCATTTTTCTTTCTCAAATCACTAATTTCTAAGACATTTTGTTAGTTTCACAATTGGGGATTTCATACTTAACTGCGAGTTTATAAGGTTTATCGTTCTCCTAAGGTTTTACAAAGCAACACAACTTTTGGGGAAAACAGGACTAATGCAAGATGAATTGAGAACCGAGAAAAAAGTTTTTGAAAGAGAGATGCACTCTCTCTCTCTCTCTCTCACACACACACACACACACACATGCATGCATGCACACACATGTATGCACAAAAATGGAGGGGTTTTGAATCCCATAGATAAGCATTTATCCCTTTATTCTTCTTACTATAGTAATTTAGCGAGCTTTGATTACAAGATCTAAATTGTTCTGAGAATTCCCTTTCTTTTTTTAAAGGACTTACAGCAAACTAAATCAGCTATACTAAAAATCTCCATTCCTATTGTAAAATTAGTTCCTTTTACCACCCTTTCCTCTTAATTTGTTTCACTTTGACAATTCCCTTGGTATAAGACATCATTAATCATTAATCGCTTGAGGAAAATTCATGCTTTTTCGACAAGCCAAAGCTGAACTCCCTGTGTCTCATTTTATGTTGCTCTTTCGATGCATTTAAGTTCAATATTACACAATCATTAACTATGGAACATCTGATCTTCAACTCTAATAGGACTCTGAATCCTGGGGGCATTAATCAGGGCATACTGTCAAATTCAGTTTTGGAAAATCATTGTCTTCTCCAGAACATCATCTTAAAAATGGACATGTTGCAACTTTAATGGAATGATAAGTCCTTGAACTAATAGCTTGATCTTCTATTGTTCTCCATACATTTAAAACAAAAAGTACTTCCAAAATTGTCCATTAGGATAAATTAGGTGTGAGGGCGAGCCTTGGCGCAACGGTAAGGTTGCTTAATTGTGATCTGGAGGTCATGGGTTCAAACCAAGAAAACAGCCTCTCCACATGCAGAGGTAAGGCTGTGTACATCTGACCTTCCCCAGACACCACTATGGTGGGAGCCTTGTGCATTGGATTTGACCATTTTTTAGGATAACTTAGGTGTGACTCAATTATTCACAATGAAGGAGAAATTGGGGATGAAGTTAATCATAGAGTCGAGGCAGAATGACTTAAATGGAGGAGTGTGTCTGAAATAGTGTGATCAATGTATCCCTTTAAGATTAAAAGGGAAGTTCTACAAAACAGCTATTTGACAAGTCATTCTTAATGGGACGGAATGTTAGTACTTTATGGGACGAAATGGCAGCTAAGAAACAACACACGCACCTAGTAGGTGTGAAGGAAATGCATATATTGGGATTGATGTGCGGCAAGAAAAGATATGATAACATTAGAAAACACATGCATGAGATGGTTGAAGTAGCATGCATTGGTGATAAAATGAGAGAATCAATTAAGATGGTCAGTACACATGTAAAGAGGCCACCAAATGCAACAATAAGAAGAGTGATATGGTCCACATTGAGGGTAATGCTAAGAGAAGGAGAAGATCAATTAACATTGGCAGGGTTAGTGAGAAAAGATATGATGACATGTGATTTGACTAAGATTATGGCCTTAGATAGAGCAGAATGGAAAAATATAATTCATATAACTGACTCCAAGAAGTTGGAATGACTTTGTATGTCGTTGTAGGATAACTTATGTGCAATGATCATAGATATCCATTTCAGTTGGTTAATGGCCTTCATTCTCATTGGCCACAGAGATGTCGTAGAAGATGGAAAAAGGGGGAAAGAAAAGAACACACAGAAAAATAAGAGAGAAGGGGCAGGGGTGGAGTAGGGAGGTGTAGAGTGTAGACTAGTCTAGGTGAGATGTGGAGATGGAGCTGGACATTAGTTTTTCGATAGGCGTGTAGGATTTATGGTGTGACTCACCATAGTCTTTAAGGGTGTATTAGTAATCGAAAAATCAAAATGAAGATAAAAATTGTAACAAAATTAAGAATGATTAATAATTTTCTTACGAAAAAGAAGCATATAGCACTTGCCTTTGCCATGTGTTCCCGGCATTTGGGAAATGGCCAGTCTCCAATTCCGTAACGTCCATGGGCACCTCCATTTCTCATGCTGAAAGTTGCAAACATTAAACAATTGTATAACATTACAAAGTAATGAAAGTACTGCCATAACATTGCACGAAATGTGATTTCCTGACCTTCCAATAAGATATTCACCAAGAGGAAGAGTGCCATTTACCCATTCAAGAACACCAGCACTAGGGGTAAAAGGAACAACCTGTTACATTAACAACAATACACTAGTCAAATTTAATGATGAGAGGCAGAAAATACACATAAGCATGAACTTGAAAAAATAAATAAGCTCTAAATGTATTCTATTTCACATGGTTCCATATGTTGAAATTGAAGCACTTTTTAGATTGTAAAGTGTTGATGGACAACAATACTTGAAACCTTAACAAGTAAAAAGCCAAGACCAAACATGCTTGTCGTACAACTGTAGTGCATTGGAACCCATGATTATCCACTATGACAACTCCGAAATTGCATCCGTCATTAGTTGACCAAGCATGGTATGACATCTTCTCGATTTAGCCATCAAAATTTTTTCCGCAAGTAGTTTGGTCATCATTTTTCGTCTTATTAAAACTCTTTAGCTAACTCTTTTGCTATCAATGCCTCAGCTTGATGACTTTTCTACAAAGCCTCACACAACCTAGCACTTATAGCACAACTTGACAAACCCTTGATTTATCACCATGGGTTTTTTTAGAGGAAGCTGGGTTAACACTTTAACAGTTACATAAACAATAAGTTTAGCACATGTAGGTTGTTACGGTTGTAGAATATTTTCTACCCGTATCTCAAGCAATATTCTTTGGCTTCTACATCTACCGATCTGTATAGGGTGATATATACATTATATTCTCAATTGTGTGTGTTGCGACCATGTGAAAAAACCACAATTTTATGTACCCTACTCTCTGCAAGTGTGTGAACTGTGAAGTACCTGTGGTGCAAATTACTGCGATGTTTATTTAATTATTTGATTCAGGAAGCAAATTGAAGAATTTAATGGAGATCAAATAAATAAGTAGGCATAGAACTAGAAGGTTCACAAGTGTTTCTTTAGTGGATCAATTAAACGACAACGGTAATCATGAAGCAATCACATATACATGTAACAAAGTTGCAAATAGAACTTCAAGGCAAGTAATTACAAATAAAAAGCACAGTCAACACATGCACACAAGAAAAAGAGAAGGAAAAGAAAGATGATTTGAAGTTTTTACAGAAACTGTCTTCCATTCCAGACTTGGTAAAGGTCCAAAGTAAAATAAAATTTGGAGAAAGCGATTAACTGTAAATTTGAATACCTAAAGGCACATTACACAATCTTGGTGGCCAGAGTCCAAAGAAGTCAATAATTTAATAGGATAAGAACATTGGAACACATGCACTCTTTCTAAATGATATCCAAAACCCCATACATAAAGCCAAGGAATAAAAAACTATTCAAAAGGAAGATATGCCATCATATCCAAAAAAAAAGGCCCAAACTAATCGAGAAAACCATCCAAATTTGTAAGTCTTGCAATCTGAAGCCAAGATTTCCATTAAAGAAGCAATACCATGCCTTGCTAAAATCAAATGAAATATATAATACCTTGTATGTACGAATCCCTAATTTCCTTTTCCATGTATCCCGATGGTTCTGTAAGAAAGTGTTAACCAAACTAAAAAATTGTTCCATTACCTGCATATCATTCAATATTTCAATGTCAGCATAGACAAATTAAATTGGGGCTTCTTATAGGACAGGAAAGAATATAGTTAATTAACTCATGTTAAGCTGTACACTATTCAACCACTAAAGACAATAGGCAAAACCCTCACTAGAAAACCTAAAGTTAAGAGTCTTTGATAAACATTACAGCACTTGTGGGTACCATATAAATTAAAATGTAAACGGCACCTTATGAGTGTGAATGGGTAGGTATACAAAACGTATGGCTTACATGAATGGGTAGGTATACATAACGTATGGCTTACTGAAAGTGGAGATGTAGGAAGTATGACAGGAGAATGAAGTCATGCAATATGTATTGTCAAAAAACTGGTTAAGCTTGAGCATTGTTCTTTCCCAAAAGTGATAAAATTTAGAACTTGTATTCTCTTACATCACTAGCTCAGAGGAATTTATTCTTTTATGACAGGAGAATGAAGTCATGCAATATGTATTATTTTTTGATTTATTTTCTTCCAATTGTTTCTTCTGGATTTACTTTCATACATTTGTACTTGAGTGTAAATTCATTATATATTCCCAGTCTCATAGAAGCTGAGAGTTTATATCAGCTCTGTTCCTCATAATACTCTTCCTCATAATACTCCCTTCCTCATTGGTCCTTTTCTTTCACAATAGTCAAACACATTACACTCTTAGAATATTCAATCTAACATATCCATTCTAGTGTTAGATGTCACAAATGAAAATTAAAGAGCAAGCATATAGTTTGGATTCATACAGCATCTTGTCTCAGGTCATCATTTCCAGATTTTGCTAGTTGTCGATATTTGTTACCATCAGAACCTAGGCATTCGACCACCTTTGGAGCATTTATACCGTTCATTACCCTATTTTCACCAATATGAACAAACATCAGCAGCAAAGATTGGTAAGCGACAAATAAAAAGAAACTAAAATTGATCTGATGATTCTGATCCATCTGTTGATAAGACATACATGATTGAATCTGATATTCCTTTAAAGTGTGGGAAAGAGCCTTCATGATATCGACAGCTACGATCAACCGGAAAAGTAGATGTCACTACAGGTACCTGAGGAGACAAAGTTATTACAGAGGTCCTTTGGAACACTAACTCCATTACAAGATAAAAAGAAAGAGCTATAAAATATCAATAGAGCAAAGGGAAATTAAATGAAGTTATCAATTCAAAGGGGATGAAAATAGTGTGAAGATCTGCTTAATTTATAGAAGACATAAGCTGAATACTTGTTTGAGAAGAGGCACATGAAACACCTGATTGAATATGTGACAGAGTAGCATGCTTTAAGATAAAACACCTGATTGAACTTGTTTGAGAAGAGGCACCAATAGAAGACATAAGCTGAATACTTGTTTGAGAAGAGGCACATGAAACACCTGATTCTCAAGAAAGGCCTTATCAGAGAGACTCTAAGTCCTTGTGCTGTGCCCGCTTTGCTTACGCCGAAGAAGGATGGATTTTGGAGGATGTGTGTGGACAGCAGAGCTATAAATGAGATTACAATAAAATACAGATTTCCAATACCAAGATTGGATGATATGCTGGATATGCTATCAGGTTCCAAAGTCTTCTCCAAGATTGATTTGACGAGTGGGTATCACCAAATAAGAATCCGAGAAGGGGATGAGTGGAAAACGGCATTTAAGACCAAGGAGGGACTTTATGAATGGCTAGTTATGCCATTTGGCCTATCAAATGCTCCTAGTACTTTCATGAGATTCATGAATCAGGTGTTGAAACCTTACATTGGGAAGTTCGTGGTGGTCTACTTCAATGATATTTTGATTTACAGCAAGGATGAAAGAACTCACGCTGAAAATTTGAAGGCTGTTCTACAACTTTTGAGACAAAACCAGCTTTATGCAAACTTGAAAAAGTGCAGATTTATGGTGGACAGATTGGAGTTCTTGGGATTTGTTGTCTCAGCCAAAGGCGTTGAAGTTGATCCAATCACTTTAACAGAGATCAGAAGCTTCCATGGTTTAGCTACTTTTTACCGGAGATGTATTAAGAATTTCAGTGCCATAGTAGCTCCAATTACAGAATGTCTCAAGGGGGGAAGGTTCAATTGGTCGAGAAGCCAAGGAAAGCTTTCAAAGGATCAAGCAGATGATGGCACAAGCTCCAATACTTGCACTACCAGACTTCAACAAAAATTTTGAGGTAGACTGTGATGCTTCAAAGATTGGAATTGGAGGTGTCTTAAGCCAAGAGGGGCATCTGGTTGCTTACTTTAGTGAGAAACTCAATGGAGCTCGACAAAATTATTCCACTTATGACATTGAGTTTTATGCTATTGTTCAAGCATTGAAGTTTTGGCGTCATTACTTGATTCAACGGGAGTTTATCTTGCATTCAGACCGTGAAGCCTTGCGGTTCCTCAATTCCCAAAGGAAATTAAATTGAAGGCATGCTAAGTGGGTGCCATTCCTACAAGAGTACACTTTCTCTCTTAAACACAAGGCTGGTTTGCAGAATAAGGTGGCTGATGCTTTGAGTAGAAGAGTTTACTTGTTGAAAACAATGTCTACAAATGTTGTGGGACTGGAGGTGATCCAGGAGCACTACATGGAGGACCCTTATTTTCGAGGAATACTTGACAAGCATGCAACTAGAGACAACGAAGTATGTGCTGAATTTGTTATCAATGATGGTTACTTGTTTAAAGGAGCAAAATTGTGCATACCTGATGGTTCTCTAAGGGAGTTATTGATTTCCGAATTGCATGGAGGTGGCCTTGGAGTACATTTTGGAAGGGACAAAATAATACATTTAGTAATCGAACGATACTTTTGGCCAACAATGCGGTGAGATGTATATAGGCATGTAGATAGGTGTCGCATATGCCAAGTTTCTAAAGGGCAGCAGCAAAACACAGGCTTGTACACTCCTTTACCGATTCCCACAGCTCCATGGGTTGATGTTAAGCATGGATTTTGTGTTGGGGTTGCCACGGACAGCAAGGGGTGTTGATTCTATATTTGTTGTTGTTGATCGATTTTCTAAAATGGCACATTTCATTGCATGTAGAAAGACATTGGATGCAACTCACATGGCAAATTTGTTCTTTCGGGAAGTTGTCAGACTACATGGCTTGCCAAAGTTTATCACATCAGATCGGAACACAAAATTTCTTAGCCATTTTTGGAAGACTCTGTGGAAGTTGCTGACAGCTAAATTGCAATACAGCAGTGCATATCACCCCCAAACGAATGGCCAAACAGAGGTAGTAAACCGCAGCTTAGGCAATTTATTGCGGTGCCTTGCTAAGGACAACATTTGACAATGGGATTTGACCTTACCACAAGCTGAATTTGCTTATAACAGTACCATTAATAGATCAATTGGGAAGAGTCCGTTGTGGTGTATGGAAGGAATCCAAATCAGGTTGTCGATCTTGTGGATGTATCAAATCAGACACGAGTTAGTGATGATGCTATTGCTTATGCTGAAAATCTAAAGAAGGTACACGAAGAGCTCCGGGAAAAGTTGATAGAAATGAATCAACATTATAAAGAGGTTGCTGATCATCATCGGAGGTTCAAAGAGTTCCAAGTTGGAGATTGGGTTATGGTTTTTCTTTGAAAAGAAAGGTTTCCTGTTGGCACTTATCATAAACTGAAGAGCAAAAAGATTGGCCCGTGCAAAATTTTATGCAAGTTCGGTGAAAATGCCTATGAGGTGGAACTTCCCCAAGGCCTAGACATATCTCCCATTTTCAATGTGGCCGATCTCTATAGTTTTCATGGTGACTTAGGGGCAGAAATTGGTGGAAATAAAAGTGAGCCATCAAGTCCTCGTATTGGAAGTAAAGATAAGGTTGAGAGAGTAATCCATGTGCAAGAAATGAAGACAAGAGCTGGTACTTACTTCTGATTCCTTGTCAATTGGGTAGGGAAAATATGAGAACTCGTGAATAAATGATGAGGAATTTATGAAGCTTGATGACGAAATGTCCAAGGCCGCAAAAGTAGCAACCCGCACCGAGGCAAGTTCTTCCTAACAGGGGGAGAATGATGCGAATTTATGTAAAATATGTATAGTATGTGTAGTGTTGGGGTGATTTTCAACAAATAATGTAGTCTAGGGGTACTTTAGTAATTTCATATTTTGAATGTTTTAGTTTGGGTTAATTTCAGACTGTCTTGGGATATTTGGGGTTGATTTTATAATAGAAGTTAAGTGGATGGAGTATTAGAAAAGTTTCTTTTATTTTTGGGGTTTATGTGCAAAACTCTGAAGTAGCCTTCTTAGGATAGTATAAAAAGAAAGAGAGCGGCTGCCTTCGGGGAGGATGATTTATGAAGACATAATCTGGAGCCAGAATTGATGCTCTCACCACAGCTAGGGTTTCAGGCATTGGAGGCTAGGGTTTGAGGAGTCGACCCTGCGGCGCGGTCCAATCCCTCTACTGCTGCACTTCGTGCGAGAGGCCAGCGATCTGGAGCTGTTTTCTCTATTGTTCCAGATCTGATTTTCCAGATTCAGAACTTTATTATCTTCTTTTGTTACAAGTAAGAACCTAGTCCCCTCTTGTCAGATTGGTGTTGCCTTTATATCTCAGATCAGTGCTTCTGCTGCATCTACTTACATCAGACACAAAGTTCAAGTTTCTGATTTGACGTTAAAAAGAGTTTTCAGTTTATATGACAAAAGAGAACATTTTTTGCTTGAAAAATGTATCCCATCAATCTGGTTTTTGTGTTTTCACCATCATCTTGACCGGGTCATCTTGCAGGAATCTACTTTCTTGAAGATTACTTTCATTAATAGACACTTCTACTGTACCTATCCAATAGCTCCTGCGATTTAAAATTATCCACATCTTTTTGTCTTCTATACAATCTCTCTAATTATGAGAACAATTTTGAAACAATGGTCAATGATCACTGTTGAACAAAATGATAATACTGAGAATTACTGATCATTATTAGTACTTACTAGTTCAAGCTGTCGAAGACTACGAATCTCTCTGGGTAGAGCAACCTTTTTATTGGTATCCTGTTGACATGATCTAGTTAGTAGGTTCCAACAAAACTGTACAAATTGCTCCTGATAGTGGGAACTGAGCATAGTGAAGTAACTAAGATTATAATGACCAAAACGAAAAAAAAGAAAAGAAAAGAAGTGAAGGCAGTAAACAATGAAATAAGAACAAAAAGGGGAAAAGAAAAGAAAAAAATACAGCCATATGACTAACCTCTCTCTTTGTTTCTAGTTCAGCAAGTTTGATGTAAATTTCCACCATTTGTTTCATCTAGATGATAATAAGAAATCATCTCATTTAAAGAACACTCCACAAATTTAAGACGGAAAAAAAAAAAAAAAAAAAAAAAAAGTCAGAAACAAATAAAATGAAAAATCAAAATGGAAAAGGAATTACCTGTCTGATAATATCTCCATGATATGAAGATAATTCTTTTAAGAGGTTTTCCGCTGCAAGCTTTTTGTCCATATCCACCACAAATGAGTTTCTACTACGCTGCTTATCCCTGATCCGATCACCATTTGCCAGAGCAAGAAGCTGGGACAGAGTCAGTAAATAAACAAATGAATAAAGGAATAAACAAATCCATACAAAAAATATATAAATCATAAAGACGAAGAAGTATCTAAAATGCATTCAACCTACTCATTATTAAAACTAAATTAACTTGTCTGTCCTATTGTTTAATTCAGGTGACATGAGGATTTCAGTAATCTCTTTTTAACTTTGACTAGGCGTATTTGATAGAAAAGTATTTTCTTTGTCCAAATTAAGTGTCGAAATATATAAATATTTCTATATAATCGTGGAGCAAAATCCTCCACCAATCATGGTGATCTGGTCAATTTCCTTGGTGGAGCAAAATCCTCCACCAATCACGGTGCCTCCTTTGACTATTGTACACCTTCCATATTTTCTTATCTTTACCGTGCCTATATATAGGCTCTTTGTACTCAAGCAAAATATATCTAAATAATAAAAATGTAGCCCTCAGTGGCTCTTTGTCCATGGATGTAGGCCTTAGTGCCGAACCATGTATATGCCTGTGTTCTCCATCTTTCTCTCTTCCCTTTTCCTATTTGCATTTCTTATTTCCGCATCCAAAATTTAACACGAAGCAATGAGAAGTCCTTGATTTAAAAGAACAAACATCTTTACCTAGTCACACGAGGATAGTTGAATTGTTTAGCTAAAGTACCTGAAAGATTGTATGATACGGATGGTCAATAGCCATTTTCTTCACAAGAGAAACCAAAGCAAACTGCACAAATTGGTAATTCAGACCAAAATGAACTCTAAACTTCTTTGAAAAGTTACAAGAATATGAGCTGAAACCAAAATTGAAATAAAAAAGGAAATATATAGAATTAGAAAATAACAAGAAAAACTGCTTTGGTTTTTACACCTGGAAACTATGAGGTCCTTGACCATCTTTTGAGCTACCCATTCGTGAAGCAATTTGGTATACTAGTGGTATAAATTTGTAAGACTGAACCTGCAATATGTTTGGATAGGAAATAAAATTACCGACAATCACATATTGGACAACCTACCTGTGAAAATGGGATTTAAATATCTTTATAATTAATCTATTCTACAAATAACATTCCTTGTTTACCTCTTTGATAGTGCTGAGCATGCCATTTACGACTATTTGTCTATAAGGAAGACTGAACCACAAGGAAACCAGTCGAAATACCTGAAAGAACAAAAATCATGTTCATACGGACATAGGCTTTCTTGACATAAGCTTTAAAAGAAAGTTCACTTTGAAAATGAGCAGTGAGATTGGAGAGTAGAGTTGAGGTAAGGTCAAGAAGGTATCGTACAAGTGGAACCCTACTCATACCGGCAATGATTTTCACTTGCTTTCTAGAGGCAATAATGAATTGTTGCTCCAAACTCTATCAAACTAATCATTTATAATCTTGAGCTCATTTCATTTATCAGTAACCATTTATGCAATCAGTAAGCATCAAAAAATATTAACCTGGTCAATAAGTACTTACCACTCTTACATCATATTTGTCACCTATGACCAAGCAACATTTATATCCCTCCAGTGCTACGCTGAGGAAATTATCCCTGTCACCCTAAATAGTTGAGGCAGACAAAAGGGGTAATCAGCTTGAGTTAGATATCAGTAAAACTTATAAAATAAAAAAGAAACCATGATTTCGACATATGCTAAAGAATGAAACTTAGCTATCAGAGCACAAATCAACTGGTCCATACATGTACAGGGTCTCCAGTATGGAATGTAAACTTTCAGATATCAAACATGTATTTACATTCATATGACTCGGGGATAGAAATATTGGATGTATTTCCACCATCAAATGAGTCATATGAGAATGTATCAATTGATATATATATAAATATAACAAGAATATCATATCGTATATAAAAAAAAATGTTTAACAAGCTTCTGTCATTATTGTTCAGAAAGGTTCATGTACCTGCGATTTTTGATTCTATGATGATATGATCATACATGCAGTTTAAGAGAATATTAGATTCTTCAGATTTTATTCTACAATTGTACCTGCAATTTTTCAGCCTCGTCTTTGTCCATTGCAAGTTGCTTTTGCAACTCTTGTATCTTTACTGAATAGTCAGTTTTCTCTCCCTAAGAACCATATAAGAAAAATCATATATCACAAATCTGAAATAACTAAGGAATCATTTTTATTCTCTTCCAACAGTGCCCATTGCTGGTGATTAATCAAAAGTAAATAGACAAGTAACTGAGACTTGCCTTTGATGAACCTTTTAACCGCCTAATGAGTGCTTCCAACTCTTTTGTCTGCAAAATAAGAACATGACCCATGTTGTTTGTAAAATAACATCTTGATTTAGCAACTCATTATTTTTCTTTATTTCTTTCTTGCTTGCTCGCAGTCTTTCATATTGTTATTTTGATATTCTAAAATTCTTATAAGTTAAAGTACCTTGTGTTTCCTTAATCTCATTGCTGCTTGCCATTCATTAGAGTTGAATCTTTCCTCATAACTTCTAAATAGGGCATCTGCATAGTGTGAAAGATGGAAATGTGTTTGGCTTTGCCTTGCAATGGACTTCTTGTCTGTCCCCTTGTGATCCTCAGCAAGTATAACTGAACGTTTCAGATATTTTTCTAATATAGTTCTCGAGCTGCATGATCATCGCATGTACAAAATGCCAAATAAATAAATCATTTCTTCAACATAAATATGGCAGCATGAGTGTGTGCTAATATACAAAATGTAAAACTGACTTGCTAGATCGAGTTTCTGCAAGCCACTTTCCAACTAATCGATATACATCTGAAGCCTCTTCACTTGACTGATAATTTTGTGAGATATATTTTGCTAGGTTTATTGCCATGTCAATCTGACCTTGTGCACGCAAAAGCTTAGCTTCTTCAAGCTGCCATTGTACCAAAATACCATATTAATGGAAATAGCCATTTTGTAGAAGCAAAACTCAGAATTACTGAAGAAACAGATGTATAAACTAGAGATTCGACACTATTGTTATACTGAGATTAAAGTTAAATACTAGTTGCATGATAAGGATCATTATATGATCTAAGGAAAGGGTATCAACAATACTGCGGTCCTCATATGAGATGACACACCAGTTCCAAGTTTTTAACAGATTAAACATATCATTCATGATAAAAACAATAGAGGGTATTCAAGTACGCTGTGAACCCTTGCTTGTATCAAGTTGCTATGACACAATGACGAATGAATATGAGGCTTCCAAAAAGACTCTGGGAAGTTGCTGATACTTTGTAGTTAGTTCATCAGATGGCTGGCAAAATAATGTAAAGCTAGGGAACAAGCTGTCTGACAACAATGAATTAACTTGGGGATTCAGCTGCAGCTTATCAAGCAGGATCAACTAGTTTATGTTGGCGAAAAGGCCAGTGAGCATGAATGGTCAACTTTACTAATTTTGTAGCTGTCAAATAGGTTTAGAGGATAACTGAAGGCACAGAAGAATACCACTGATGTTCTAATGATTTTTAAAGGAAAATCAGAAAATTCATTCATACCCTTCCAAGCCAATACAAGTCAGAATGTTGCTCTACTGTTCCAGCACTGAGGAACTTAAACTCATGCAATGCCGCAGCAGCCTGAGAAAATCGAGAACCCTAAAAAACATAAAATAACATATCAGACAATGTGACAAGTTTACTATTTTGGAAGAAATGCAAACTTCAAGATGATACCTTGCGAAGAGTGGATGCAGATTCCAAAAGATGTTGCACTGTACAATCCGTACAACTCAAAATTTCAAGTACGACTCTTCTGAATGCTATGAACGGCTCTAACAAATTCATATGCAGTTGTGCTCGTTCCAAAATGCAGCTCCAATCCACATTTAGCCATGACAACTAGATGGAGATTCAAAATCAACTTTTAGGAGTTCAGAAAATTTGAACTTTTTCCCCTAGTTTTCATTTAATCTCCCTTCCATTTCTATTATTTTTTATTTTTATGCAACCAAAACCAAATTATATTTTACTTGAATATGGTGATCTGGAGTAATTAAATAGCCTACCATATAATCTTTATGAACATGACAGTGAGGATCCCAACAGAAGTCACAACTACACAAAGCTTTCTTTTTACAAAAATAGGATAACCTCATCAATATCACATTATCGCTTTGTTTGGTTTGAAGGAAAGATGGAAGAGAGGAAGGATAGAAGAAGCTTCCATCGTTTGGTTGGAAGGAAGGGAAGAGAGGGAGGAAGCAAGGAGGGATGCTTCATCCCTCCTACCTCACGTTTTTAATCCCTCCTAAGTAAGGAGGGGAAAAAAATAAAAGAATCTACAAAAATAGAGAACCATTTTTACCCTACAATTATTTACCAAATTATTTTGTTAAATGTACCTTGTATTAGTTTATATAATGAGAGTATACTGGTAATAAGCAGCATATAAAATCTCTCCTTTCCTTCCTTCCAACCAAAAAAAGAGAGGTGTAACATCATTCATCCCTTCCATTATTCCTTCTACTCAACCAAACAAAAAGTGAGGGAGACACCATCACTTATCTGGAGATGCCTCATCCACCCCTCCCCCTCTCCCTTCCATCCCTCATACCAAACGGAGCATAAGGGATCAAGCTAAAATCCTCTAATGGAAACATTAAGCAGGGTTCAGCGAGTTATTACTTGAGGTTGTTAAATAATTTACATTTGAACACATAAATAACCAAGAAAATGAAACAACTATTTTTATCAGCTTCATACAAACTTTGGCATACAAATCATCATATACATTATTTAACCTTTCTTACCAACTTCTAAGTTACCTTTTTAGTCCAAAAATATTTTCACAGCTTTCTTCACTCTGAAGTAAGATCCTATTACATGTGTTCTAGAACTAATTATCTCTAGATATTTAACAATTTGAGATTCCTTAGTTGGAAATATTATAGGTCTCCAAGTTGTGTTACACGTTTATTAGGTATATCGATGGAAATATATTATAGAGAGACCTAAGTGCATCATTTTCTTGTGACTTTTGAATGTTTGCAGATGGGACAAAGTAGGGACTTTATATGCAAAACTGTTGGTTTATCTCGAGCATTGGAATGATGTACTCAAAATCAGTGCGTTGGGTGTATTTAGAATACATTGAATATGATATAAGATAATTATGGAAGAGAGCTCAACAAATATAATACCTGGTCCATGGAAGGGATCACGGGTTCAGATAACGAACTTCGCATCTCTGTATAAGAATTCAGCTTTTCACAAGAAGCTATCCAACGCAAATCCCATGCCATGCCAAGATGATAAAAGACCTGAGAAAGGAATCAGAAAATGGCATAAAATTAGCATAAACTTTATTAGCAACAATTCAAAGAAACTTATTACTAGATTAGCAACCCAACTGACAAAATGGTCTTTTGGTTTAAACTTGTATCTCAACTCCTAAGTTCTCTATAGCAGTTAACGGGATCTTTGTGGGTTATTCAGTAGTTCCGGAGGAATTAGGTAGGGTGACCCTCTCTCACCCTACCATTGTGTAATTGTAATGGAAGTGTTGACTAGTATGTTGAACTTAGCCTCCACTGACCCAAGATTCAAACCTCACTGATAATGCCACAGATTGAACATGTTCATATTTGTTTTGCTGACGATCTCTTGGTGTTTAGTGATGAAAACCCCAGAAGCATTGAGGTTATTAAAGAAAATTTGAATACTTTTTTGTTGTGGCTGGCCTCTCTCCTAATCCTTTGAATTCCTTTGCTTTATTCTCTGGTGTAAATGAGCAGCATAAGAATAGAATTCTTCAAGCTACAGGGTATACAGAGGGAACATTCCCTTTCAAGTATCTTGGAATTCCATTAGAGTCTCTTAAAGGGTCAGAGCTTATCAGTGCCAGGAGCTGGTAGAGAAAATCACTAGAAGAGTTCAATCTTGGACCACTACTTGGCTTTCTTTTTCTGGTAGATTGCAGCTCCTCAACTCAGTTCTTTTTGCTATTTAAATTTACTGGAGTTCTGTTTACATCCTTCCCAAAAAGGTGATGCAGAACATTGAGCAGGTTCTGAGAAATTTTTTCAGGTAAGACACATCCTTAGCTGCTGGTGGTGTTAATATTGCTTGGAGTGATTTATGTTTGCCTAAAACTGAAGGTGGAATTGGCCTTAAGGACCTTTGCACTCGGAATAAGGCTGCAATTGCTAAGCTTTTCTGGCAGCTTTGTATTAACCAGAAAGAATCTTTATGGGTCAAGTGAATTACACTTCATGTGCAGAGGAATCAAAGGGTTTGGTGGTGAAAACTGAAGGGAGACTGGTCCTGGTGCTGTAAGAAGATCATAAGAATGAGAAACATTGTCAGGCCTTTCATGAAATATAAAATTTGGGATGGCAGAAAAACTTTATTATGATTTGACCATCCGCACCCCTCCGGTATCATTTGCTGAATCAAAAGGAGAGACCATAATGTACAGTTGTTCCACAAGTTATGCACATTGACAATTGGTATTGGCCTAATGCTAGACTGAGGGAGATAAAGGAAATTGCTAAAGAAATTCCCCCAGCTTTCAAACCTGATATATTGAGAAGAAATTCCATCAGTTGGTCTGTTACTGGCAGCAATTATTCTATAGCTTCTCTGTGGAATGCTTACAGATTTCAGCACCTAAGGTTTCCTGGTTTCAGATGTCATGGTTCATGGGTAACATTCCTAGACACTTTGATTTTGTGGATGGCAGCCAAACAGAGACTTTTTTCTCTGGATAGGCTCCAAAAATTTGGCTTAATTCAGAATGTGAGTCGTGTGTTTTGCAGAGAGAAGACTGAAAGCCATCCCCATCTCTTCTTTCAATGTCAGCTTCACTAACAGAATTTGGCGGGCATGTGCAGCTAAAACGGGTATTTAGTGGCTTACTGATAACCTTTTTGATCTATTGGAATGAAGATCTACTTCTTTAAACGCTCGATCCTTGAAGAATACAACAATTAAGCTCATGGTGGCTGCTAGTGTGTATATGCTGTGGATGGAACGAGATCAGAGGATGTTATCTAACAGATACAAGTATGATATCACCCTCTATAGAGATATTGTGTCTTTGGTTAGAGATAAAGTGGGAACCGAAGGCTTTAAAATTTTCTTAAACTGATCAATGGTTACAAAAAGAATGGAAGTTGCTAAAGTCAATATTCAAGCATTAGCTTTATCCTTTTGCTCTCTGAAATTCCTGGTTGCTGATGGCCTTTGTAGTTTCCTCCTTGTTTGTATAGCTCTCAGATTCAATATGAACAGGTACTACAGGTTACTGTATTTACTTTATACCAGGTTGACTTGTATAGTTTTTAACTATGGTTATAGAGCCTTGAATACCATAATCTTCCATTACCCCTTCTCGCATGAATGGTGGAAATGGTAATACAATGATTTTGTTTGTATTTCCCTTGGGCGTGCCCCTTGTATTTATGTAGTTGGGTAGCCTTGAGGCTTGTTAATTGAAAACTTACTTTCCAAAAAAAAAAAGAAGATTAGCAACCCAAGTTTTAAGTTTCGATGGCTATTCAAGGAGCTTCACAAGGTGTTATCAGTGACTATTCAGATACGACTCCAACCTCCAAAACCACAAATACTTGTGTTGTGTGAAATTTATCATCATCATCCTTGACTTTCTCCCAAAAGAATGGGGTTGGCCACATGAATTTTCTTTTTCCACTCTATCCTATTATTGGTCATGTCTCCTCTAATTTTAGTTTTTTGATATCCATTTTAATTACTTCATTCCATGTTAATTTTGGTCGGCCTTGCTGCCTCTCACCTTCTATGCAAACTAATCATCCTACCAGTCTGCGTTCTATGTTTCAATACCACCTAAGTCTATGCTCTCCTGTTTTGTCACTAAAGGCAATATATCCAATTTATCCCTTGCACTTCGATTAGTAACTCTTTATTTTCTAGCTGCTCCTATCATCCACGCTATCTTATTTCAGTTAAAAGAATCTGTTGTTCTTGTTTCTTTTTTAATGCCCAACACTCTGCCACCTATAAGATAGTAGGCCTCACATAAGCTACCATTAGCCTGTCTCCTGTTGGAATAGTCATATTAGAACATGTTAAAACACTTATATGTATATATGTATTTATGCTGGGGTCCTATTGTAATTAGATATAGGATTTGTGGCCATTATGTAAATAGGCCTTTCTTGTATTGTATATAACCCCCTTTATGTTTTAGGGTTAAAGAAATATGGAAAATATGGGCTGAGCCCCAAACTTGCTCTCTCGCTGTCTCTCTCTCTCTATCTCTATTTCTCTATTCTCTTTATATACAAATCTCCATTTCTACATGGTATCAGAGCGGATCGAAATTGTGAGTGTGGGAAATTGCAGTTGTATTGTTCTTGTATAGATCTGTTCAGAGCTCGTGACGGTGGTGAAGTTGTTGCCGTTTTGGTTGTCGACGAGCTCGCCGCCTTCTCTTGTCGTCACTGCTCATTGCTTGGTTCTTAGATCTGAAACCCAGTTTGGTTGCTCGTGTTGTTGCCGTTTTGGTTGTCAACGAATTCACCGCCTTCTCTCGTCGTCGTTGCTCGCTGCTTGGTCATCGGCGGTTATCGTCGTCGTCGCTGCTCGTTGCTTGGTCACCGACGGCTGTCGCGAGGTGCATCGCTGCTTGTTGATTCCATCGCCGCTGTCGCTGCCGCTGCGTGCTTGCCGGAGAGCTGAGACTTTGTAAAGAAGAACAGTGTTTGGCTACAAGGTTCTCGCTATCCTAATCTAGGTTAACATAAACCGGATTTGTTCCGACCCGATTTGAGGTCCGGCCTGTTTGACCTGATTTAAGGTCCGGTCCGTTTGACCCGATTCAAGGTTCAGCCCGTTCGACCCGATTTACTGACCGGGTCTGTTCTGCTCTGACTCTTCTTTTTCCTGGTTCAACTATGTTCTGGCCTTCTCGGGTGTAACAACTTCTTTGGTTCCTTGGTACAGATTTGGCATCTTAACTTGGCGCAGATAAGTTTTTTTTTTCTTCTTTTTATATTCATAAATCCATATAAGACGATTCAAATGTTGCTTCTGGGTCTACTGGAGTTAAATCTTTTGCAACACATGTTGATCCTGTCGGGCTACAAATTACATCTATGAAATTAAGTAATTCCAATTACTTACTATGGGCTTAAGCAGTAAAGATTTCTTTAGGTGCCCGACGAAAGCTGAAGTTTATTACAACTGATCCTCCATTAAAAACATCAGCAACATATGAGGATTGGGAAACTGATAACTATATGGTTATGTTCTGGTTGTGGAACAGTATGGAACCTTCCATTGCATCCACTTTTATGTTGGTCAACACTGCAAAGGCAATCTGGGATGCAGTTAAAGAAACTTACTCTATGGACACGAATGTTTCTCGCATATATTCATTGTATGAAAAGATATTCCATTCTCATCAATCTAACTTCTCTGGTTAAGGCCTTGGTGAATATTACAGTACTTTCAAAAGCATGTTAGATGTGTTGAATTAGTACCATCCCTTGACTACTGATCTTGACGTTCTCAAGTGACAACGTGAGGAATTTTCTGTTCCATTTTTCTTGCTGGTTTGTACCCAAACCTTCATAATATTCGGGATCATATCCTTGCTGGTGATGGAGGACTCCCATCTTTGGGTAACATTTATTCCCGCTTACTTCGGGTTTCAGAACAATCACATGTGACGCCCACTGGAGTGAAAGAAAATTCAGCTATGATGATTCCTTCTATTTTTCCACAGTCTTTTAGAGGTCGTGATACTCCTAGTGGCAACAGAGGGTATGGTGGAAATTCGGGTGATACTCCTAGTGGCAACAGAGGATATGGTGGAAATTCAGGTAGTTCTCGTGGCGGTAGTGGCCGTGATAGAAGTCGTAGTCGCCGTGGTCGTGGATGTAGTGACACTCGCATCTACAGCCACTGTAGGGGTACTAACCATTCTGTTGAGAACTGTTGGACTCTTCATGGAAACCAGCATGGGCAAATCATGTAGGGGTGCACACGGTCCGGTTTGGACCGGATTAGGAGTATTTTGGGACCAAACCATTTATAACGGTTTCACAATTTTTGAAACCAGACCGAACCATAATATTCATGGAACCAAACCAAGCCAAACCACGAAAAACCGGTTTGGTTCGGTTCGGTTTGTTGGTCTCAGTTGATTTTCTTTCTATTTTATTTTAATTTTGAGGGGGCAAAGTTTAAAAATAAATAAATAAAATATCAAATAACAATGATATAATACGAAAAAAAAAAAAAAAGAATTTTAAGAAGAAAAAAAGGAAAGAAAATT